TCTTAGTTTCTGTTTTAGAGTAAGGGTCTCATCTTAGAAGTCCAGCCAAAGTTGCTTGCACTTCAATGGTTTTTAGGTGTGCATGGAAATAAGCATTTGTGGATTCTGCTCTTGCTATTACCTAGATTTTTTTTTTCTCTGTGGTAGATAGGCCAGCCTAGAGAGTAGCCCACATTGCAGTCTCTGCTAGGCAAAATGATTGCTACATAAAGTAATGAAGAATTTTCAGTAGTTTATTAATTTTCAAGTAGATGCCCTGATTTCTGAACTCCAAACTGTAGAAATTTGCTTTGTCATTGAGGGAGATTATTCTGCATGTGCGTCTATTCTGTTTAAAACAAAACAAAAAAATAGCGAACAAACAAAACCTAAAAAACCCAAAGCATAACAGCAACAAAAACTTTATTTTCCACTTTCTTAACTTGATAAAAATCTCTCCACTATAGAATGATTTCCTCTGGGTTTGACACCACCATTTGATCTCCGTTTTTAATAATTTTGGTGGGTTTCACTCCCAGAAGAAAACATGCTTGTGCTGTGAAGTATTCCCACTAGAAATCTGGGAAGTCTTAAAACCTCATGTTACTTAGGGCAAAGAACTAGCTTCTTTATTAATTCCCTGCTAGACAACCCCTGTACAGTAAATCTTTCCATACCACCATGCTGTTGAAATTAATCAACGTGATGTTTGGAAATTGTTCAAATTAGATAAAATTAAAGAACACCTAGATGGTACTCAAAACTTGTCCTGATGGAAGGAGATTTTACTCTAAAAATACATGAATTTTATTGGTGTTTTTTCTTTTTAGTTGATCTTCATTTTATTCTCATTAAGATGCACAAGCATCCATGCACTGCTCCCTATTTAATGGCTGGAGTGGTGGATGGCTGTAAGAGCTCTCAGCTTTCTGCTCTGCCTGTGATGCTTCTGTGCAAGCAGACCATGCATAGAAGTTAAGTGCAATAATATTATATCTATGACTTAAAAAAGCATGTAGGGAACCAATTATTATTTGCAAATAAACAAAATAAACAGTGCAGGACTTTTTAATACCTAATTTATTCTCTTCCCTCTAGTTTGTCATTAGAAATCTCCAGCTTTTACTTAGCAGTCTTACAACTGAAAATGCTTTCCAGGAGCTATATGATTGCAGGTTGATAATACTTTTAACTAGCTCTAAGTCTTTTTTTGTAAAAATGGATGCTGTATGCAGCAGACTATCTTGGGTTTTCCCTTCTTTAATTAAATACCTATTTCTCTTTTCTTCATTTTTAAATAATTGATTACTCCCCAGTGAAATAAAACTATAGATTAAAATTGGCAAGGAGGAGAAAAATGTGCATTTGGTCTCTTTGATACATATTTATTTTCTTCTTAATTTCTCTGGCCCTTAGAAGAATCTTGGCAAAAAGTGCAAGTATTTACAGAGACTGTCTGTACATTGCAGCTTTTCCATGAAAGCAACAGCAGAGCTTAAATCTCATCTCTGATTTGCTTTAAAGATGTATGTTATAGGGGTACTGGTTGCTGCTAACCATTCTCCTCTTCTGGGTAATGGTGGGAACAGTTTTGCACCGCTCTCTTTCGTTGGTTAGATGGAATTCTTGCTGTGTATGGATGTCCTTATAAAAGCCTTTCTGTAGATCTTGGTTTATGCTCCCCTGACATTTTATGCAGATGCCATCTATATGGGGTCAAAGCTCTGTGGGAAGCATGAAAGAGCTGTTCATGAGTCAGTTACGTTAATCAAAATCGAGGAGTAAAAGCCTTTAGAATAATTTGCGACTGCTGGTACTGTTTTGTGTGCATACTAGCATTGCGTTTGTCCTTTCAGGAAACAAACTCTTTCCTTTCTAGCCCTGGGAAAACTCCTTGTTTCTCGCTGTGAAAAGCAGTGCCGTGTGCCATGCACCATGAGCGGTGCAGCATCGCTGCCTGCAGCCTCTCTCTAAAGCTGGGCGAGCGGGTGCACGTCAGTTCAGTGCCGGGGGACCTCAGCCACCGCCTGCGTGTGCACAGGCGAGGGAGGATGACAGGGATTCTGGCTGATGGCTCGTTAGGGAAAGAGCTGAGGAGTTCCAGGATTTATGAGTAAGTAAGGCTGGCTTGCACTGCAGTAGCACCGCATGTGAGACTATTATGGATGCTTGGTTTCCAGCTCGCTGCGTACTGCTCCAAGTTCTTCAACTGGGATGACAGTGAGTAGTGACTAACTTGTATTGCTCTTCTCTAAGGGCCCTGTAGCGAGCTGGAGGTGTAATATATGCATGTAGGAGCAAGCCATGGTGTTTATCAGCATGTAAAGAGCATGTTGGTGTCTGCAGAAGTTTTTCCTTTTGATTCCTATGTACTGAAATACATTTCTTTTCAGATAACATTAAGAAACAGCGACGTTTGAGGTAGTAAGTTTGTTGGAGATACAGCTCTCTCATGTGAAATAGAGAGCAAAGCAGTTGAAACTTCCTTGGAGTGAGATTGGCTTGGAAATAAGTTTGATTACTGTTGCTTTTTATTTTTAAAATCAGTATTAAGGTTCCAGGTGATATAGTGAGAGGCATGAGAATGGGTCAGTATCAGGTCACATCAGACAGATGTGGTAACCTGCCCTTTGCTCTCTGTTTTTAAGGTACTACTAGCAGTTTATCATCAGTTACTCTGGGTCACTGAGTTCAGAGGTGTTTTTCCAAAAGCTATTTCTTCAGCAGGGTTCCTGCAAGCATAGGCAGCAGGAAGGGGCCGGAAAGTCATCATGGGTGGAGTTGTGTGGGGTCCTTTGTGCTATCCATAAAGTAATATAAGGTATGGCATCTGTTCTAGCATTTGAGATCCTGTTTGTACTCAGACAGTAAAGGATGAGTGCAGAGAGAAGGTGCTTCTCCTGTGCTGAAAAGGAGAGACTGTTGTATGACAAGGAAAGCATCCAGCAGGAGCAGAAAAGACAGTGTGACATCCCTCTCATCAGTTTGCTTCACCACCTTTTCTGTCTTGCCAAAATGTAATTTACACAACTGATATTACAGCCTCAGCATTTGGCCAATTATCTTAATCTTTTGCTAAGACATTAATAGCCCCATCAAAAGTGCTGTGACAGCCTGTATGTTCGACAGGATTGGAAGTTTGTCACTTAAAGAGACTTATTTTTGTTTTAACTAGTTAAATGGTGTATGGACAAATAGAATTCAAATTTTAACCTTTGATAGGAAAAGAAATTTTGTCACTTATTTCAGAGGAACATGATCACCCATGTGCTGTCTCTTCACAGAAGCACCTAGAGATTTTTTTTTTCACTGAGTTTTTTTTTAGCACTATGTGTTAGAATTTGGCTGCTTGAACTTGCAAAATGCATCAGTTTAACCCAGAATCAAGCAGTGAAGAGGGAGCAGTATCAATGTGATGCTGTAACCTTCTTTCATGTTACTTTGAGGTGTGTTTTAAAACAAAGAACTGAAACACATCAAGTGGATATTGTAGTGTGTAGCTTGTGCAGTTAGAATGTCAAATTGAGAGCCACTCTGTGCTAGATAAGTCACTAAATGAGAATTGTGTATCTGAAATATATTTTAAAGTAGATCTAGTTTCTTGAAATTCAAGACAAGGAGTATTTAAGTTCCTTAGCAAATACTGATATGACTGTATTTATTCTAGGGCAGGGTGACTCCCCTGAAGGGATATACAGCTATTGGTTCGTAGATACTAGGTTTTGAAGCTACTGACAGTAGCTCAAAAATATTTAATAGACTTTGTGAAGGAGAACTAAAATGTGGCTTTTTCTTCTTTTTCCCTTAAAGAAGTGTCTGGTCCAGGAATACAGTGATTTGTGTCTGAAATTCATAAATACACTCAGATATTTTTTTCTAGTTATTGTCTACTGGAAATGGTTATATTTCATTCTGAAGAAGACAATTTAGAGGTGAACTTGCTGGTAACATTATGAGCCTTAGATGGCACATTTGGAAAACCGCTTTAGGCTGAGATTGTTCTCTGCACCAATATTTTCTAGTTTACCTAGGGACTAACAAGTGATATGTAACCATGTAAAAAATGTCTGTGACTAGAGGTAGACTGGTCTATAGCAGGTGGTGGAAATGGCCATGCAGTTCTGTAGGTTTTCAGTCTGTTCCCTCTTCCTTCTGGGAATGCACTGTGGGGCTGTTTCTGCAAATTGGCACATTTCTCTACTGCCTGTAGTTTTGAATCCCTTAAAGTTCATGCCTTACAATTTATCTAATGCCATAGATAACTTGATCCTGTAACCACAAAAGTAGATTTGCAATAAAACACAACAAAATTGAATCCAGACCACCCCCTGGGTTTTTCACTTCTGTGGTTCCTCCTCATCCTTGATTCTTTTTCCAAAAGAGTTATTCTCACACTCCTCATGGATGCAGCAGAAAGACAGCCATTGGTCTCTCTGGGTCTGAGTGACCATCAGCTGCCAACACAAGATTATAATTTTCAACAAAATAAATTCAAAAGTATTTTCCTTGCACAGTGAGAAGACTGGCCATGGTCTGAAAATGCACAAATATCCCAGAGCCCCCGAAAGGGACCAGCCTCTGCTGATTTCTCCATATGTTCACTGTGTAGAGAGAAACAGAAATAGCATTTGTGGGTCAGGTTTTCATATGGCTGAATGTGGAGAAATTACCTGAAAGAAATAGAGACATTCATGGAACTGCAGAAAACTTCTGCAGTGTTGAAAAAGTCTTATTAGTAAGTCTTGTTCATCGTTGTGCTGGCTATGATTCTGTTCCTGAACTGTATTCTCTAGAGCTTTAGTGTGGTTTTTAAATGAGTGAAGTGATGAGACTTCAGTATTTTCCTTGGAAAGAAAACAAAAGTTATCCCACAAGGAAGAAAGGCAGATTTCCACTTATGATGAGTCTTCTAGGAGGTGTGTTAATTTATAAGTTTAATTAGACATGTATGACACAGTTTATGTTCCTCTTATTGATGCTTTGTTGGTTTTTTTTTTTTTTGGTGTTTTTTTTCCATGTAGGTTTGATGATTCCAGTCTTTTGTGTGGTGGAGCAGTCAGACGCCTCTCTTGAATACGATAATCGAGAAGAGCATGCTGAGTTCGTTCTGGTTCGCAAAGATGTGCTCTTTAGCCAGCTGGTGGAGACAGCGCTCCTGGCTCTGGGGTATTCCCACAGTTCTGCAGCTCAGGCACAAGGTATTCAATAGTTTTTTCCCACTTCTCTGCACTGCAGAAGACAGCACCTGAGGTTGCTTGATGTAAGGAAAAAGTTAGAAAATTGGTAGCAAATCTTGGAAGTGTTTATATCAGTTGTGTTAATTGCTTAATCCTAAACTAGGTGTATAACAAGCCCTACATTTTTAGCCTGTCTAGAAAGCATTAGCTAGATCTTGCTGAAGTGTGAAATCTGTTGATAATGATCAGTCAGGATGTGCATGGCACACTTGTTCTGCACCACGAGGCAGGTTGCTGCTTCCAGGAAGTCAGCTCAGAAGATACAACCTTTAGATGTACAGCCAGATGGTATCCAGTATTTCTCTTTGTATCAGGGTATTACTATATGACACGTGAAAATACCATGCGAGCTGCTGCTATTGTAAAGGTAACAAAGAGAGGTTTTATTTCTGATTCTAATATTTATACTTTTTTAAAGGTGACAGTGGATTGGAGGGTGAATATACTACGTTTCTAATGACACTACTACTAGTACAAACTACTAGGGCAAACTACTAGTACATTAATTTTTTTGTTTTTATGAGGGAATGTAAAACAATAGGTTATTTACAGAAAGTTTTCTATAAGAATGTAAACTTAGAGCTTTAGAAAATCTTAAAAATTAGGGCGACATCAGGGCAGTTTTGAACAGCATATTGTAGTCTTTCATTTTTTAAATTATGCATTGTAGATAATGGTTTCATATATATGCATGCTGTCTTTATGGCAATTTGTTTAAGGACTAAATGTGCAGGCTGATCTCTGTTTTTACTTACCTAGTATATTGCTGCAAAACCCTTTGTAAAGCACTGTAGTCCCTTCCACTCAGAGATTATTCTTTGTTAGCAGCAAAATCTTAAAATAAACAAAGCTTTCCTCTCTCTACCCAAAATATAAGCTTAAAAAAACCGAAACCTAACATTGTAATGTTGAGCGAGATGGGCAGGAGGTGGTGGGTTGTGAAAAATCTTTCCAGAATGAACTTCAAATTTCAAGAGGCTTTATAATACTAAACAAGTTATTTCAGTGCTTATTCTTTTGGATGAGAAGCCTGTAAGTTTGTTTTTTCTCCATATCAGCAATAAAACCTGTGCACATTTAGAGTAGTTTAAAAGCAATTTGCCTGGGGATTTGAATTTTCTCTGTTGATTTGAGTTGCTTTATAGTTAGGTATTTGGACACGGGAACAGAAGGAGCAATGCTGGTATTGAATCCAGGAGTTCCAGGCAGTGGTTAATCGTATGGGCTCCTTGTGCAAACTTGTATCCAAGCAGGGTGATAATGATTTGTTTCCTCTGTCAGACTCTGCTCTGTGAGAGAGGCTCAGGTTCTTCATATAGGCAGAGTTTATGTGTATGTGTTTATTTACACAATATGGTAGCAAAAACCCTGCAAGAAGGTAGTTGTTTTCGTTTTAAAATGAAATGCTTTGTATCATCTTAGGAACTCTTTTTTTCCTGAATGTAGAAGGTAATCATATCCCACTGTTTCCATCCTGGTGAGCCAGCTTTCTGTTTGACAGCACTATCCATCTCAGTTAACACAGTTGCTCAATGTGTTGTGAGCTAACATGTGGAACATGCTGCATTAGGTGGCCAAGATTTGATTCTTGGCACTTCAGAAGGGGAATGGGCTTTGCAGAAAACCTGCTCCAAGGGGGGCATGTCATCCAGTGCAGTGACCCACACAGGCTGAGCATTTCACCTGGGGGAACCTTGCTTTTGTGGCATCACTCTGTTGTGAGAATAGAGGGAAGGAGACAGATTGACTCATGAAGGAAATTAGTCGCTTTGCAGGGAGGAAATGGCCACTGCGTTTTTGGGCTTTAACAATGAGCAGGTTCAGATGCTGGTCTGTCGCTTGATGTGCTGCTTGAATAACTCCACTAGAAAATAGAAGCTGAATCTCTAATTATTGCAATTAGTCTAAAAGAAAAAAACTAGGGTATTTTCATCTTTAAGGCAGCTATTACATTCCTCTAACATCACATGGTATAATATTTAGAATGACAGAAAATACCTTAAACATCCATCAGCTAACAAATCTCTTGGTCAGGTTATTTACATTCACACTGAAGGGTCAGTCCATCATTATCTTTTAGACATCTTCAACAAATATATGCTGATCTTGAGATATGAAGCTGAAGTACGCAGCATGTTCTGCAGTATCTTGCCTCTGTGCTAGCTGCCTGTAAGCTGGGGGGTGAGGTAGAGGTGGAGACAGCCAATAGATTTCTGAGATTGTTCCGTTTAATGAAAAATTTATAGACTATAGGACCCTAATTTGTTAACTAGAGTTGACAGAAGCATGCTACTAAATTGCTAGTATAAGGATTTATTTGGGAACACAACTTTCTGATATTAAAAAGGTAGGAAAGATAAAGCTATTTACTTTATTCATTATGGCTGTAGGACAAGTCTACTTCTATTCTAGTGCTTGAAATTGATTTCTGTTAGCAAAACATATTAATAAATAGTCACTTAGCTCTTTTTATGGTCAACTGAATTACAGGATCTGCATGGGAGGTCGAAGCTCCCTCAGGTGCATTTTTCAAAATGCTCTGAGCATCATGCTCTGCAAAACAGTGATACGAGTAGGTGTCCCCATGTCCTCCAGGGACAAAGTAAATGAGTTTGTCCAAGTTTTGGTATTTTGGTAAAAGCTGTCTAAGCTGTAACTAAGCCTGTAACAGTTATCACCTTTTGAGTTGTTTCATTTTGGCTGGATGACGAGGGGAATTCACTTCATCCTGTGAGAAGCATCTTGTCTTTGCCTGTTGTTTTTAGAACAGGGACTTCTGTGGCAGATAGAAGATCTGTGGCAGAAGAGAGAATTTCTGTAGGATTTCACTCTGCCTTTGCTGCAGCTCCCCATGGCAGCCCTGCAGAGCTGCTGAGGCTCAAGTTGGCGTGTGCCTTGTGTGCAGGACCTGGCTTGAGCTTCCCAGCTGTACAGCAGCACAGCAAAGCCTGGCTGGCAGAAAGGAAGCATGGCACAGAGTGGTAGGTGGTATGTGCCTCCCTGAGGGGGCTGTGTGTCTGGAGGGGCCCTGCTGTAGGGCTGCCAGCCTGGGCTGCAGCCTGGAGCTGCAGAGCTCCCCAAGGAGTGATGCTGCGTCTGAACATTTGAGCTGTAACACACACACAGTGGTCACCTGGCCTGAGCCTCATGTACTTGGCTTATTACGGATCATTTTTGTTCCTGCTTGGTAAATTGGTAAGTCTTAGCATGAACAGTGTTGGGACAAAAATATATCAGGAGGTATATATGAAGGTGGCCCCATGCCTCCCTGGAAGAAGCTCTTTATTCCCACACAGTTTGGGCAGAACACATTTATTCCACAAACAGCTGTTTGTGATTTCTTGTTGATGGTGGTGGGAGCAGAGACTTTTCCAGCGAGTGCTGCCCTCGTGAAACTTCCCTTTTCTGACAGGAGCTGTGAAATGTCTTCTGGAACAGCATGGGAATTCGTTAACAGCTTGGCACTGGGGTGTGAAAGTTGGTGGTGTAAATGGCAACAGAGGTTTAATAAACATTTATGTATTTTTCTTTCATCACTCGAGTCTACACCTGACAGTAGGGAACCTGCTACATGTGCCTTTTAGAGAGGAAAAGAGTGATGTTTTAAAGGGACACCTGTTCTATATGTAGCTTAATGAAGTTTATGTGCCCTGATGAAAATTTTTTCTTTTGGGTGAGGTATTTTACCAGGGCTATGTAAGAGAAGGCAACTGGTAGGAAGTACATAGAATACACAGTGCTGAGTGCTGGGACCAAAGTAGTATAAAAGTAGCTGCAATCTGGTGTACCCTTTGTGCTCTCCTGTGGCTTTGGGACCTGCTGTGAAAGCTGATTCCCTCCTCTGTGGGGTGGAAGAACAACAGTGTTAGTTTGATGCTTTTGGTATCTACTTTTTTAGAATCCACATGAAAAAGAAAATAGTGTGATTTCCTGTGGATATGCATTCTTTCTTTTGACAGGTTCCTTGTTAGCTGTTGTGAGTTTGTATATGGAACTGATGTGCTTTGTCTGCAGAAGTTAGCAGAGCTGAATGGGTCATTGAAATGGAGTTTGCCTTCTCTTGTCAGGTACTCGAGTTCGGTGTGTTGGCCAGGGCAGTGTGGAGTGCCTGCCCTGACTGCTCTCTGGGGCAGCTCTAGCCAGGCACTGGCAGGATGGTTTGCTTGGGTTAGCTTGTGTGTGGCCTTGGCAAGGAAAGGGGTGTACAGAAGAGTGAAATGGTGCTTGGATGTCAAGTTGAACAGGAGGAGGAGTGAGAAAACAGCGGAGGGAAGTTAACACAGAGCAAGAGATCCTTCCCATCATTGTCGCTGTAGACAGCGATTGTCAAGCTCTGGTTTTTAAGCAATTCATTACCTTGAGCAGACCAATGCAAGAGGCAGTGCCTTGCATTTATGCCTCAGAGACCTCTCTTCTTGTGCCCAGTTTCTTCTAATGCTGTCTATAGACTGGAGAGGGGGGAGGACTTCTGCTTGATAGAGCTGTGTGTAGGTGATTAGAGTGGAAGGCTGAAAGGAGAGGTTGGCAGTGGTCAGTGGGGAAGGTGTAGTACAAGAGAACTAAGGAAGAAGGTTTTAAGTATCATACCTTGCCATGTGGAGTTGCAATAGCTAGACTCAGAGGTGAGTGATGCTCTCTGAGGATTGTGGCTTAATGAGCAGAGATCAGATATCTCAGCCCTGGTCAGCCTTACGTCACTGGAGTGGAAAAGAGGAGAATTCTGTTGGGCCAGTCGGTGCCTGGCCAGAGTAGCTGACATCCAGAGGTACCTCAGGACCTACTCCAGTCCTGCTTCAGCTACCTGATTGTGAAGCTCTGATATTGCTTGCAGTCACAGGTCTGCTTGGCTTTGGTGCTTCTACAGAGAACTGTTTTCTGGAGCACTGATGGAGCTGTCTTTGCAGTCAGCTGCAGTAGGAGAGAAAGGTGGCTCTCCTGACTGTGTAGGAAGGAAACCAAAG